GTCCGAAGCTTCTCCGGATCTGAAGCTCTGTCCGAAGCCTCGCACAGCCCTATTAGTTTCAGGATACTGACTTGGGAAATATTGTTGCCAGCTTATAGTAGATAGAATCCTACTTGTGACTAAAAGATTTCACTGGGACTTGCATTTAGCCAGTTTCAGCAGACTTATAAAATTAGTGCATGCTGTGTCTATATAAAACTGTTGTGTGGTATGGTAAATAGCAGATGTTGAGCTGTAGTTAGATGTAAAATCCCAATTACAGTAGGATCAATACTGGGTAGTAATTCACTGTGCTCTTCATCTGAATGGGTAAGCATTTATTGATTGATTAGATTTATATGCTACCCTTCCCAACAGAGGGTCAGGGCAGCTTACAGTAGGAGAATAGAATAGCATTTATGAGACAGGAAAGATGCTTATTGAACAGGAGAAAATGCAAAACAAACTGTCTAAACAATATTCCAGCCTGGATTTATTTGCTATGTTAGAGTTTAGCAAACAGTTAAGAGCATAGGGTCTGGTAAAAACAGTTTTGGCTCAAATATTGAGAGGAAGCTTGGGACTTCTTCTAGGTTTTAAGGAGTGGGGGGAAGAATTGGTCTGTGTACTTAAAAAAAAATATGAATAAAATACAGCTTAAAATGTTAAATATCCCTAAAAGGTAACGAAAGCAGGTTTTGGTTTTTTTTAGTAACTAAGAAAGATTTTCAGGTTTCTTGAGTAACCAAGAAAGAGTCTTACTTAGCAACCCAAATTAATGGGAACAGTTTACTACCTTAACATCCCCAGCTGCCTGTTTAGGACAGATTGAAGACCTCTTTATACAGCTGGAAAAATATAAAAAGACTGCTGTTCTGCCCCAAGATTTCTAATTTTATTGTTATATTAATGAAGGAATCTAGTTATTACTTGGATCAGGACACATGACATTTTAGGGAAAGGTTTTGTTAAACTTTGTCTTTAGTTCAACTACAGTTATCAAGTTTACTTTTCCTTATTTCTGGTGGACTGTCATATTTATGGCTTTCTCTGCATTTTTCCTCTTTCTACTCCCCTAGCATTTGCGGCAGTAGGTCACACAGCTTCTGCATGACATCTGCTTTTCCAACAGTAATATCAGCATTTTGGAATTTGCTAATTTAATCCTAGTCAATTTTTCTTTTTCTTAAGGTTATTGGTGATGGTAAAAAAAAATTTTTGATGAAAAATGCAGGTGCAATTAAAATAAGATCTTAAATTTGAGCACATTTAATCCCCATAGAATTTTAGAGCAACATCTAGAAAAACTCAAGTCAAGTTTGTATTGTTAACTTTGCTTTCACCTTTGCCTCTGACTGATCGTCTTTAATTATGGGAATCACATGCTGTTTTTTCACTCAGAAGCAAAGTAATATGCAACTTAAATACACTGATGTAGTATCTTCAGCGTTATTTCATTTTTTTATACTTCAATTATTTTTATTATCAAAATGACCAAAAAATGGACGTCTGTTATAAATTCTTTCTTGCAGTATTCATTTTAATAGTTCTGTTGGCACCTCTGTATGATTCTATAGAATCTTAACTGCCTAGACCCCACAATTGAACTTAATTAAGAAGTTTTACTTAAGCTTTTTGTCCCAGGGAATAGTTTAACAGTTACATAGGCATCATTTTATTCTATGCAGAGACTGGATAGGCATCTGTCTATGGTGATTTGGGAACAGCAAATCCTGTATCTGTGCAGTTTGACCTTGCACAGGCCCCTGGACTCTCATAGGCTGTGAGGTCCCTTCCAAGCCCATGATTCAGTGATTATCCTAGGATAGCAGTAGCCCCCGTGTGGACAGACTTGTTCCAGAATGCCACTGTGTACTACTTTCAGTTTAGCTTAAACTCATTCCTAGTAACAAATGCTAAACCTGAAAAGAAGCTCATTAATGCTATGATTTATACTAAAAACTGTCCTGTGTAAGTAAGGTGCCCTCATTATGTCAGCAAATTTTATGGGTTTTTTTATTACACTATGAAATCTGGATGAGTACAATTTATAATGTTCTCTTTTCACATAAATAACTTTCAAGCAGTCTTTTTCTGGCATACCTTTACAGCCATGTCCTACCCTGTATTATATGCATGTCTTGGGTTGTAGAGTTGTTTGTTATTTCCGTGGTATAACAAGGATCTTAATGCTCCTGTTTCTTTAAGAGAAAAAAGGCTGCAGGGAGGGCTTAGTCAGCAATTAGGGGAGATACCTGACCAGAAAGGGATCAGGTTTAGGTGTATACACCCAAGTCCTGAATTGGGCGTGCAGTTTGGCCCCTGGAGGCTGATGTATGAGGAGCTCCTGAGCAGACTACAGGGAGAGACTCCTGATGGACATCAAGGAAGCCTCTGGGTAATACAGCCTTAAGGGTGGGGTAACTCCAGCAGTTTAGGGAGGGACTAAGAGGAAGTGGAAGTCCCAGGATAGGGGGGACTGTGCGGAGGAAGAGGTCCCAACAAGCCCAGGAACAGGGCTAGAGGCCTGGGAGTAAGGCCAGAGCCCAGAAACAGGGCAGAGAAGGGGCTAGAGACCCAAGTGCCCAGGGAGGGGCCAAGAGGGTGATGTGGATCAGGGCCAAGAGCCCTTAGATTAATTGAGACTAGGGCTGAGGGTCCATGGAACTGATTGATGATAATTGATTGATTGGTAAAGTCTACAAGGCATGAGTGTGGCTAAAAGGGAGACTGAGAGGCCATTAAATTGTCCTTAAGACAGTGAGTAGGTAGACCATGGCTCATGAGCAGATGAGATCTCACTCGGGGATCCCTGGAGCAGCCTCCTGTTTCTAAATACATGTTAATAGCAAGGCTTGGCAGGCAAGCAGAAGGGGAGGATGCTTAAAAGACAAGGAGAAACAAAGGCTGAGTGACCACCAGGCAGCGTCATGGCCAGCCCTGAGGCTGGCCTTTGTTACATTTGGTGTGTTGGCCGGGAAGGGCTGTGTGCACGCAGGGACTCAGTTTCCCCTGTGTAGAATATAGGAGAACTTAAGGGCCCACAAGTAGACATAGAAGTTTCAGGGGGCAAGAGGTCCTGTGGGTTGCAGGATAGAATATGATGGCCAGAATGGGAATCCTTAGATGACTGCAAATGGGATGCTGAATAAACCCAAGAGGGAGACCCTCCTGGTTCTGGGTAAGACCTGAAAACTGCACCCTCCTGGGGGCTGGTGTAGTGTGGGGCTACTCATGGCAGGGTAGCCTCTATAAAGTGCCACATGTTGCAGCCCCAGGGAAAGGCAAGTATAGGGTGCCTTAAAACCCCACTGCCCTATGGGTTATTCTGTGGTAGGAAAAAGGCTAAAGGACAGGGAGAAACAAAGGCTGAGAGGTCACCAGGGGAAGGCCGGCCTTTGCAGTGGCCAATGAAACAGAGCTAAGATGGTGCTTAGAACCTTAACTTTGGTATCTCTGGATTCTTGAAGACTTTGCTATGCAACCTTAGTACTGTATTATTACTATGGAACATGTTTTGAAAGGACACTCAAGATCAAGTATGTAGGCTTCAGTATACAAGGCTTAATGGATTACTTTTTCCATTGCTCATTTTAAAATTAAAGCACCAGCTTCCTGTTTTCCTTGTACCAAACTCTCATTTATCTGAGCTCTTATAATTCCTAAAGCAGTCTGTTTGGAGAGGAATTCAATGAAGTGACTGAGAAAGGGACTTCTACTTAACCTTTCATTTCGCAAGCGACCAGTTTAGTGCTAAACAGGTTATTTTTAGTTTCTAATTTAGGGAATTAATATTTCCAGATTTGTTTTGTCATAGCTTGGTTGTCTCTGCTGAATTGGAAAGGCTTGTAGCCAGCACAAACAGTTGGGGGATTGCTCTAACTGTTCTACACTAATCCATTAAGAATCTTTATGCATTATGTATTTTGATCTATAACAAGACAGTCTAGCTGATGATATGGTCACTGGAATATTTTAAGTCTAGACTACTGTTTTATGAAACTGAAGGCCATCTTACGCAATAGTCAGAAGTTTGCTAAACTGAAACACTGCAGTTTCTGAAGACACTTCTTTTCATATGATGGCATCATCTGGAAGATAACTCTTGGAGCCAGCAGAAATGCATTGGGGGCCCTGACCTAGGTTACAGGCTCTATAGGCCAGAATGGCTTAGAACAGGGGTTCCCAAACTGTGATACACATACCTCTGGGGGGTATGCAGGAGAAATTGTGTAATGGCAGATTCAATTTTCATTACAATAATAATTGGCATTTAAAGAGTTAAAACATAAAATGTATGCTGGTAGGAGTATGCAGGCAGCTGGTAAATCTGGAGGGGGGTACACAATAAGAAAAAGTTGTGAAACTTTGGCTTAGAAGATTGTTTCCTAATCTTTCCTTTGGGTGGTATTAGTAGGCTCTTTAGAAAGTGATGTAATCAGTTTCCAAGTGTGGTAGAAAGGATACTGCAACACTAGACTTTGGAAGAGGACACAAAATGGGAAATAGAAAAACTTTGCCTAGTCTCCCCTTTTGTAGTTGTCATCATCAAAAGATTATGATTTTGGAAACTCAAGAGATGATACAATTCATCAGAAATATGACATGACACAAATCCTTTTGGTTTTCTATCCCCTTTGTCACTTGGTGCCATAAAAATAGCTTTCAGAAAACTTCAGCATGCAACTGAATTTTTATACTAAGCAGAGGAAATAATTGAAGATGAAGCTGATATAATCTTTTGGTCTCTTAATATCCCAAAGACTTTAAAAGTTACTGTGCTTATGTTGATCGTTTTAAGCTGCCAGTGATATGCTGACACTTAGGTAGGACATTTTCAGATCACATTGCTGTAACATTACTGTAACATTTTTTAATGAAGTAACATTAAAAAATAGGCCAAAAATGAGCGAGGCCACATCTAACTGAAATTATATAGGAAGGGGCAGTTGTTGAGTTAAGTAATGAAAACATGACTGCAAGTACATTTGCATAACAGAATGCTAACTTTTGTCTTTCAGAGCCATGGTGTCATGGAAAGGGATATATTTTTTACTTGCACTGTTCCTCGGAAGTTTTTTTGGAAGTATTTTCATGCTCAGTCCTTTTCTACCTTTGATGTTTGTTTCCCCTGCCTGGTATCGCTGGATCGTGGACCGAATTGTAGCCACTTGGCTCACACTTCCAGTGGTAAGTTGCAACATGAGTGTACTTCTAGTGAGCCTTTATATTTAGATTGTCTTACAACACTCTTGATGTTATGAAAATGTTCTTAATAATTTCTAGCACCTCATCTAGCACATACTGGGAGCGTAGGACTTAATTCAGCCAATTTAACACGTGAAAGTCAATGAACTTTGTTCACACTAGTTACTTAGCGTGCTAACTAGCATCACATCTTAAATTCTAATATTGACAGGTCTTTTTATGAAGTCTCCAATTCTACCCTCCAAAAGAACTGCATTCTGAGCCAGATGCCTTCAAATATTTTTGAACTTTCATTCAACTTAATATAAATAGTTACTTTACATCAGACCTCACCCTGTTGGTTTCATTCTGTTTCACACGACTATGGAAAATATCTCCCTTGCATGCCCAGTGCATCAGAAATGTTGCATTATTGTTAATGAAATTGTAGTTCAGTTAATGCTTCTCTCTTGGATGGCAGTTTTATCCTCCAGTGGCCAACTCCCATTTTTCCTTCCCTTTCCCGTTCCCAAAACAATATAGCAACAATTGTAATAGAATGGGAATTGCAAAGCAAATGACTGTTTCTTTAAAATATATTTAAAGTGATTTCTTAAGGCCAAAAGAGGAGCGGACGTGGTAGAAAACCTCAGAAAAGTAATGAGTAGTAGAGCACAATAGACTTTCCAGCAATCTTCTGTATCTCATCAATGTAGGAGCTGTATAAAAGAAAAAGGACCTAGTATCAACATAATTTTCCATTTAATTGAGTTATACCACTATAAAAAGTGTTATGGGATCTAACCAAGTCCCTATAGCAGGGTTTAATCAGTTAATCTTAAGTTACTTTGGTCCATTTTGTGTTTTCCCACAGTTCATTGTCTGCTCAGTGCACTCTTTATTATTGTTCACAAATAGTTGAGAATTCAAAAATTTTATTCATAAATATCATATTTATCTGAATCCAAGATGTCTTCAAATGCAAGATAACCACCCAGTAATTGAATTCTACATGGAAGATCATACATTTTTTATAACTTTCCATGTATGGAATCTAATTCCTGAGGAAGTGTCTTTAAATTCATCCCCCAGGGCAGGGATGGGGGGGAGGCAGCTAGCCAGAACTCTGCTGCTGCCTTCCCCTTTTGCTTTAGCAGCTCTGGCTCTGGGGCAGTTGGCAACAGCAGCAGCTTAGGGTATAACAGAATGTGAGCATTGGGGAGAGGGAGCAGGCAGTGGTGGGGGAGCGGCTGCACAGTCTCCCCCATGCTCCCTCTGAATTGCATAGCATAGCATAGCATAGCATGGGTTTCCCCCACATGGACTCTCCTGGATGCCCCCCTCCCTTACTCCCCGCATAGTCTCCACTACACTCCCCCTACTGCGCACTCCCTCTGCCACAGCAAGGTGGCAGCTTGGCTTTGACTTTGCCCTAAGCTCAGAGCCAGGGCTGCAGCAACCACCTGCCTCTGCTGGTACTCAATTCCAAGAGTCCCAGATTTTTTTTGCTTTTTTTCCCCTTCATGTTGATTGGGGGGGGGGACACGACTTTGTCTTGGATTCGAGTAAATATGGTAGGCCTGTTTAATTTTTCTGAAGTAAAATATTTACCCTGGCTGTTACGGCCTCGTTGCTTCCAGCACATCCATGTCTGCTATGGAAGGATTAATACCTTTTAAAGCATAAAAAACTGATTCTACTTTCTCTACCTGCATTTGGACTTCTCCATATGCAGCTTGAAATTGCTAATTCTTTCTACCATTAGTGCAAAACTAATTCAATTAGGAAGGAAATAAAAATTAACATTTTAAGGGAAAATAGCACTGGTCACTTTCATCTGTCACAGCCAAGTACATATTTGAACTTCACTTCTTTGGTAGTAATGTTTGAAGATTGACACTCTGAGTACCTACCAGATCACCTACCAGATCACCAAACAGGACACACAAATTTCCTTTTGATGGCAGAAGAGGATGGGTTCTTAAGTGCTTTGTAATTTTCCTGTTGAATACCTGTTTTGATGCAAAGGTTGTCATTGGAACTTGGAATGCTTTTATTTTAGGTATTTTGATACGCTTGAAACCTAGCAGTTGGTAATAGTAACAGCGGTAGCTAAAAGTGATAGCTAAAAGAAGTACTCTTGACAGGTAATGATTTTTCCATTGTTTCTTACAGTTTCTGCTCTCATAGTAATCCAGAGGCAGCTCTTGATTAGTTAAAAAAAAAAAATTAGGTTTGTTTCTCGATTTAACAGTAAACTTTTCAGTGTATTAGCCCCATTTTTCAAAAAGTGCGTGTTAGGCTTAGGGCTGTTGAAGGATGACAGTTCTGTTTCGTGGCAACTTTTGCAATCTAGAAATCTGGTTTCATTCCATAATGAAATCAGCTCCTTATTGGAGGTAAATTAAAAACCTTTTGAATGCTTTTGCCCAAGCAGCATGCCTGAATTAAAACCTGAGCTTTTAGATTCAGGAAATGGGTCTATGCCTGTCCTCCCTCTGGGCTGAGCTGAGAGACTCAGATCCTAAGTCTTTGTTTTACCTGTGTCACCTGATTTTCTTTAGCTATGGCGTACTCCATAGTAAAACCATTATTTTTTGAAAGCTCGTTGTCAGTGACTTTTGTGTTAGCTTGTTTAGGGAGGTGCATGGAATTACTGTGATCCTCTGGGGTATTCTCAGAACCTGTTGGCAGTTACAGTGACGCTCAAAATACAAATTACATTTTTCTAAAGCAGGGCCAAGCAAAGTCTGGCCTCCTGGCCAGATTGGGCCTGTGGCAGTGTCCAATTCCCAGCAGCCCCTGCCCATGTTGCTGTGGCCAGTTTCTGTGGAGACCCCAGAAGCGGCAGCACTATGACAACGTGAGGCCAAGGTTTCCATGGAGACCACCCCCAGCAGCACTGGCAAGGTACATGGCTGGGAGCTGCTCCAGGGCTGGGGCTGGGATCCTGCAGCAGTGACAGCATGGTCTGGAGCTGGGGCAGAGCTGCAATCCATTGCTCGCATGCCCTGGATCTGGGAGGGGAAAGGGGATGCCTGTGGGCAGCGGCTCACAGCTTTGCCCTGGCTCTGGACCATGCTGTCACTGCTGCAGGATCCCATCCCCATCCCCAGAGCAGCTCCCCACCCAGCCACGTGCCCTGCCAGTGCTGCTGGGGCCTGTCTCTGGCCCTGCACTGTCACAGTGCGTCGCTACTAGGGTCTCCATGGAAACTGGCTGCAGCGATGCAGGCAGGGGCTGCTGGGAAATGAAGTCTGGCCAGTAGCTGGATCTGCCACTTTGCCTACCCCTGTTGTAAAGAAGGGTAGTTATAATGTTGGGGAACATCACAACACTGATTCTGACTTGCACAGACATATGCCAATCTGTTAAAGTACATTCAAGTTTTGTCTGGGATTTCCCATCCTCAAGCCTCTATTTTTCTATCTTTACTACTAGCTAATTGTGGGGATGAGTGAAGCATTGTATTACACTGATAGGAGATCACGCTTCAGAAGTTATCAGTGCCGTAGTAATTTTGGCCACTGGACCACTTGCAGGATACCTGAGGCAATTTCCCTTTTGCCCTGCCGTGCTGTAAACCTTGGTGAGCCATATTCAGAGTCTGCATTTTGATTCTCATAAGATAGTGGGCAAATAAGGTGTTCTCATCTTACCTCCAGATCAGCAAACAACATTTGGTTGAGAAGTGCTGAAATTCACTGTATTCGCCACTTGACTCAGGGGAAAATGGCTGGGTCCTGTATATATGGCTGGACTTCTGGTAAGAAAACAGTTAAGGGAAGTTCATTCTCCTAATGAACTTTTGTCGACATTTAAGTGAAATCATTTAAAATTTATTTCCGTTATTGATGGGCTAAAGCTTTTATTTTTCCTGAGGGAAAATGATAATGTCGTAACCTTTCTTGTAGGCTTTGCTGGAGATGGTATTCGGTGCAAAGGTGGTTATAACAGGTGATGGGTTCATTCCTGGAGAAAGAAGCGTCATTATCATGAACCATCGGACAAGAATGGACTGGATGTTCTTATGGAATTGCCTGCTGCGATACAGCTACCTCAGACTAGAAAAAATCTGTCTCAAATCCAGTCTCAAAAGTGTTCCAGGATTTGGTAGGTCATTTACACTTTTAACCAGAAAAAGAACAGTTGTGAAAACACTCTCCCGTTCCCCCAACGCTGCTCAAGCCTCATCAAGTGACTTAAGTTCAAGATCTGCTTCATTATTAAGGAAACAAGATTTTCTCATTTTGTTCAAATGTATTTGTTAGGTGCCTTTGCTTATTATCTTACATACGCAAACCAAGAAGACTGTCTTTTAAAAATTTTGTCTAGACAACTGAGAACTTAAGGTTCTTTTTAATAGCTGTAGTGTCAAACTGAGCTCATGTGATAGCGGTACACTGTACAGGATATGAAATAGTCAGCATTTACAGTGATAAAGGCCAGAAGCTGGTCTAGGCTGTAGAAATTTAGAGAAACTTACTTTAAATAAGCCAAGAACTTGTCATACAAGTAGTCTCAGAATAAATATGTAGATTTAACTGAAATAAAAAATCTCTTTGAATTTTATTTATCTTTTACATTTGATATCTTACACAAAACCATGTTGTACAAGAAATGTATCAACTCCCTGAAGTCCAAAAAGTAACCTGATCTTATCGCTTCCTGCTTTTTGTCCATTGGTCTGAGCAGACAAGTTTTTTTAGGAATTGGTGTAGTTCTGGCACACTGAACAGTAGGAGGAGCTCTCATTGTTGTGCCATATCAATATACTTGAAAAAATAATAATTTAAATACAAGTAGTGAAAGTGGCAAGAGAAATTTATGCATGTTTTCTAGTAACACTCACTTGATGCAAATGAGATATCTGCTCCTTTTTAAGTTGCAAAAAGTCAGGAAATTTTGGTGGATGCATTTTATACCCTTGTAAAGCAATGCAGATTGTTTTGATGCTTTTCATAACTTGAAAACATACTTTATGAGTTTAATAAAAATATTCAGATTTTTCTTTTAGATGCCACCTGTGAATGTTTTTCTAAGGAATTTTAGAAAATTCCTATGGATACAGTATACTTGAATCCCAAGGTTACTGTCCTCTTTAAGTACTGTATGTTACTAAAATGAGTTACAGCATGTTGTGTGTTAGCATCTGTTTGTCAAAATTAAAATTCCCTAACTGTTTTAAAGGCTAGACCCTTGAAGTTAGAAGTATTTGTGCCTTTTCAGGATTTGGCCCTAACATATTTGTTGGTGAATAAAAGTTAGTGAGAGGTATTAGAAATTTTTGCAACTGACTTTTTTTCTCCAGTCCACTCCACAGTGCACAAAGACTTCATAATCGAAAAGTATTCTTCAAAACACACAGTAGTGGGACTTTGTGTGTATTGCAATCTAAAGAGGAGTAATTTTCTTTTTAAATATTCGGAAGTTAGTAGCTTAGTAACCAATGCAGGGGAATTTAGTTGGGCTACATCCAGTGTTTAATGGCCTTAAAACAGTGCATGCTATGATTTTATGCTGCCACAGTATTTACATCTACTAGAGCCTCTAAAGAAACTGTTAGGTGCTTTGAAATCATAATTTACAGCGGATCCTCTGTAACTGTTTTTCTGTCTCCTATTCTGCTCTAAGCAGAAGCTAAACTGTTGTAACTTTAAATCAGTGGTTCTCAACCTTTTTGGACTTGAAGCACCCCTCCATAACTCTTGTGAATTGTGATGCAACTTGTATATTACAGTGCTTACCTCCTTACAGAGGGGATGGGCAGTGAGGAAGGAGGTTGAGAAATAGCCAGACCAGAACACGTCTAAGCCTGGTATCTGCTTATCTCGTGGCACCCTTCAGAGGATCTGGTGACACCCCAAGATGCTGTGGCACCCAGGTTGACAGTCAGTGCTTCAAACTGGTTTCATTCAGATTCAAAGTTACAGCAGTTTAGCTGTAATATACCTTTTATTGGAGCAAATAGATTAAATGGTTGCATTGATTGATTTAAGGTGTGAGGAGAGAGATGATTTAGGAACCAGTGTCATATCAGTCTAGTGGTAAATTCTCTCCATAACCAGTGAAATTTGTAGGATCCACATAGAAATAAAGGGCTTCCTGTGTGTAGTCAACCTAAGCTCAGGTGTTTGAATCCTGCAAAAATATATATGGAGTATTTACTGCCAACACATGGAGCTAATAAAAATCAGTCTGCTTACAACAGTGATATAAGGGATTAAAGAACTAAGGGCTGACATTGAGTAGTTTTTCTGGAGGACCAAGCAAATTTATATTATCCAGAATTTATAGTGTTTGTCTATATAGTATGTTCAAGGGTCCAAATGGCATCTATCTAAGAGAATTTTTTTTTCTTTGATAGTTATGCTGCCCTCCCCAAAAAGGCCTAAGGCAGCTTACAATAACAATCTTTAAAAATGGGTAATAAAACAATAGTAAAACTTGCCATCAGTTCTGTTCATTTAATAAACAATTGGTCACTTAAATGATTTTTTCTTAATGGCTTGTTCAGGACCTACAAAAAATACGAGTAAGGTATATGTTGCTCAACAATACTTTGAAAACAAGGAATTTTTTTTCCCCGATATCCATTGTAGTCTGCAGGCCCTGTGTGTTACATGAGCTAGCATTTAAGCCAGCTAACCCAGGTACTAGAAAAAATAGTCAGGGCAGCATGGAGCTCGGCTTCAGTACCTTGCTGTATTTCTTGACAAGGTAAATTAAGACACGCTGAACTATATATTGCCATAACTAGACTGCTTTGCAATGTAGATGTACCTTTTAATGGTCTTCATATACTTTAGTCATCCAGCTACTTATCAATTTGAGGTTTTCAGTGCAAGTTGGAAAAGTTACTGTTTTCTGAGATAAATGTGTAAGACCAGAAATAAAAATGATACATTTGTATGACGTTTGGACACAAACTAGTGGGTAAAAACGATGGTTGTAATAGGGTGCTGTCAGTTTTGTGATCTGTTGGTGTTGCTTGTGCAACAGACTGGCTAGCTATATCTGAATAGAAGGGCCACTGATATTACTTGCTTAGTACAGCTGGGTGAATAATGGCTGAGCTGAAAAAGGGGGGCAGGGGTAGGGAGAAAATTCAGTTCAAGATAACCAAAACAAAATTTGGGGGTACTTTAGAGAAATAAAAGTTGCTTTATTATTTTAGATTTTAAAAAATTAGATTAGTTTTTAAATGAAAAATGCATTTTTTGAAAATTTAAACATCACATTTTCCATTTAAAAAGTGCTTGAAATGTGCTTTGACACCTTCAAAACTTCCACCTTCTCATTTTTCCTGGAGACTGTTTGCTTGGTTTACCCAAACCCAAACTCCTCAAAAACGCCATTTTTAGTTGCATTTATTTGTTGAAAAAAAATTGATCCCATTATTGAGGTACTTTGAGATAGTAGGAAAAAATATTCTATGTGAAGTCGGGTAGAGAAGGAGGAGCAACTGAAAGGTGAGATTCATGGATCAAATGAAGTTACTTGCATGGAAGATTTCTACATGAAATGCAGTAAACGTTGACAGCTGCTGGAGGCTTAATACAGAGGGCTAAGTAGTAGAGGAGAGAAAATGGAAGGCAGTGAAAGGAATTCATGTCTCTTGTAAATCCTTCACTTGACTTTCTACTTTGGGTTTCTAAATGCATGTCAGGACTGCAAAGATATATTCAGTAGATCTTGTTGTGTCAAGTCACAGTAGAAAATGGTGGCCAGTTTGAATTCACGTTTATCCTATGCGGCAGAAAAGAACATTGCAACTTTTAACCCATGGCTCTGCCGTGTAGTGGGAAAGTGTTTAGTTGATATTGATAGCTAAAAAAAAGAAGTTGAGAGTCTTGATTTTGTTTCAAAAAACTTTTGCCCATCTTTATAAGCTTTTAGTATTTCAGTGCCTCCTAAAAGTCACAAGGAAAACAACTTGAAAATCCTTTGAACACATTGTCAGTTTTTTAGGTGTAAGAACTTGCATACTGGTTGTTAGCATATGATATTTTATTGTAGGGGTCATGCAGAACTTTGAAATTAAATTATTTTTTTTCTCTTATAGTGCCTTTTAGTTTACTCTCTTCAGATTAGTATATTGATGTGCACTACTTGTATTTAATTAAAAGTAAACAAGCATAGAGCTGTTGATTGCATCAAAGATAATTGTTATATTAAATTCTTAGGAAACTACATGAAGATCAGTTCAAACTAGCATACAGTATGGAGTTAAAGTATGACCGGTAAATTGGAGTAACTCTTGAGTTCTTTACAAACAGTCAGCTTCATAATATAATTGCACCTAAGCTATCCCAGTTTATAGAGCGAGAAAATAAGTCCCAGAGAGCTGAATTCTCTGCAAGTCATACAACACATTAGGGCAAAAGTTAGAAATGGAACCCAGGAGTCCTGGCTCTCAGCTAATGCACTCATTGTGCTTGAGATTACATTTGAATTGAAAATGTAATATATTGTAGAATAAATGTTTAGAAATGAGAGGAATAAAAGTATCTGAAACATTAAAATGTAACAATTACATAATGTATATATGCAGTTACTTTCTATTTTACGAAATTATGACTCATGTCACTGGTAGACAACGACTCATTAGGAGTTTTGGGGACATTTAGGAGAGCTTCAGTTATTAATTGGGAGTACTCTAATGTACCAAGAAATTTTGAATTGACTAAATGTAAGTTTGTCTTCCTGGGACTGTATCTTTGGTTTAATAAATAGTGAATGAATTAAAGTTTCCAAATTGTAATAGTATATTTCAGTGATTTGAGTTTCAGAAACATTACTACATTACTTCAGTGCTACTTGCCAGAGGTAGAGTCCCCATGGTCACTTTGTTGTTCAGCTGTTGCTACAGTTTCTCTTACGATGTCATCAAAAGCTGCTCTGGCATTTTCTACAGTGGCAGAGTTCAGAATTTCTAACAGCACTGAATGATTCCTGCATAGTAAATTAAAATAGTAGGACTCTTCTAGCCTTTTCTCTTCCTAACGTACATGTACAGATATAGGGTTCAAAACTAGCATTTCTCAACCCGTGGGTCATGACCCAAAAGTGGGCTGCAAGAATAGATGAAAGGGTCATGAACAAACTTAACA